TAAACAGAAGTGTGGAGAATGCTGCTAATTTACTTACAAGGCCTAGCTTCTTGAATATGAATGATTAGGCATATGTTGTACAAAAATTTCTCTCAATGCAATAATTCTTCAACTTTGATTTATTGATTAGATTACAATTTACAAATAGGCCTCGGCTATTTGTTGGTTTGAAGATGACCAGCATATTTCATTTCATAAATTAAAGTTTACGAAGTCATAGGCCTAGAGGCCTAGATACAATTAGAAAACTTTCATGTTATTTTTATCATTCATTTACAGGCGAAATTAATATTATCGCCGACGATTCACAAACCTACTCTGTCTGCACAACCAACCTTTCTCCTCTGCAGTGTTGACTCTTCTTAGGAGCCTCATTCTATATCTGAGTAGGCTGCTAGCAACTAGGTATAGGCCTAGATGATAGACTTTTAAATCAAAAAGATAATCGTAACGGAAAAAAAATAAAAAATCGTCCTCACTTTATCTTCTCGAAATAATACAGCACGTCACTGATTAATTAATTCCAAAGTTAGGTAAATACGATATGTTAAAATCCCATAATTGAATTGTCCTCATGAACAGAATAATGAAAGAAAGTTTATGCAGCATCAGTGTTTTATAAAATGTTATAAAGCTATACGCGCGCACGCTGTTTGGTGACAACATGGCGCCCATGCGCCAAGTTGGCCAAACTCTCTCTATCTACGGCTCTGTCTTTGATGGACTCACCCAGGCGCGACTGCCGAACTTTAAACTTTAACTTTATTTACGCCGCGAGTTCATGAAAGATGAATGTCAAACATGGAGTCTGAAGATATTTTAACGAACTTTCAACAGAAAGGAACATCGAAATGAGTGCATACTATTGCAAATTAACTTGTGTAGGTAAATAAGGTTCTTTACAGGCCTGTTGCGCTATTTATATTGGTGGTTTTTGTATTAATTTTTGTACAGCATTGATTGAAGTAGCCGGCGAAAACATCGTTCGTAGTAGCCGATCGAATGCGCCGGCCGCCGGCTTTTAAATAAACCCCTGATGGCCTAGCACGTATTGATATTGTCAAGTTGGTAGATGATGTCAAAGGGCATTTGTTTTAATTCTTGTAGGAAATTTGGTTCCCTGAAGTTATGAAATGATCTGAATGTCTTCTCTTGATGGCATTGTGAAGAAATTTTCATATTCAAGTTGGTAAAAATAAAATGATCGCTTAATCCAGGTATGACAGCAGATATAAGGTGAAGCTGGGCATTAGTAGTTAGGACCAAATCAATGATACAAGCTATATTAATAGTTGTCCTTGTAGGGGTGTTAATTAGTTGTGTCTGTCATGTTGAGTTGGTCCATTAGCTCCTCTAAACGATTCTTGTTTAGAGTTAGATGTCTCCCAGTGGACATTAAAATCTCCAGCCAGAAGTAGATCAACAGATTTTTTCAAGTTGACTGAAAGACGTCACAGTGAGTACTGGAGGTCTGTATACAATGGCTAACTGAACATTCATGTAGGCAACAAGTGTTTTTACTGCCACACATTCCACGGAGGATGAAGGTAACTGTTAAAACTTTAGACATGACGGTTTCTATCTTTTCGGATAGTGGTGTAACCTGGTATTTCAATTTCGGCAGTCGGTACATCCAATTTAGTTTCTGTCAAGCCAAGAAAGTGAACAGGAAGATGTTGCATAATCAATTGTAGCTCATCAATTTTAGGCAGAACACTGTTTATGTTTATATGTGCTACTTTTAAACCTTTTATTGATTGAACATCAGAAAGAGTTACTAAGTCCTTATAGTCTCATGGTCGTTGGGAGGTCCTGGATTAGGGTGAACATCCCCATATAAACTTATTTGTATTGTACTTACAGAGTTTGAGTAACGTTGACAGAGACTACTATACCGCTTACGTCGATGTTTCTCATTGTTATTGTATTGTAAGGATGTTTGTTTTGTACAACAATGCACAGGTAATTGCATACCGTTGGGTCAGGCAGAAGGGGAATCTTACTTTCCGAAAAGAAAAAATAAGTTGAGTAATAAAACTCAATAATAACATCCACTTCAGTATATACAAAACACAAACTATTATTTATAGCGCCATTCTTTCCAGTATGTGCACAAGTAATCATATCGTCACAATGGTAAGTAGTTGTAATTGTAAGCCACCGCTGAATTTCACGATTGCCGACACTGACCATTGGCTGATTAACAGGTCAGACGGCAGCCCTTGCTGACATGCATACAGGCCTAGGGGAAACCGTTCAAAAATCAATAAACTGTTCCTTTTTGTGGTTATAAGCACACATAAGATGCAAAATATCAGAGACGCATATTTGCCAGGTGTCACGGTTGTCATAATAGTATCTGGTTTTTTATGTTATGCGAATTATTATGTATTTTAGAGTCGAATAGCAGGAGCTCACTTTTTCAACCTGTGTTGGTCAATGGCCAATAGTAAATATGCAACAGTAGGCCTTGTGAGTGAAATTTCTTTCACTCACAAGGAAACGTTTCTTTCCTCAAATTATATTGTAGTTAATAATTTCTTTGGTTAATTTCTATGCAATGACTGATTTTGTCGGCCTTATGAATATAATTATATATTTGCTTTATTTTCATTATCACAACATTAAGTATATTTTAATTTATTTTATATATGTATAGTTATAAATAGAACATTTGGTAATGTAAATGGAGACGCAACAAACAAAAAAAAACACTTATGACAAACTAATCCGCTAAATTACTATAAGCCTACTTATTTTATAAATCTAAATTTTATTGAAGCATTTATAAACATGATCCAAATATATATCGTATGGAAACGATAAAAAGAAACGTGTCTCCAAACCAATCGACTTGCAACATTTGCATTGTTTCCGTAAAAAGAAAGATAACACCATTTGATACTGCAATGAACTCATTAATAATAATAATAAAATACTACTAAAAATAACTGATAATGTTGCAGTAATGTGTAAATTTCATGTTTAACAAACGGTATACTGCTTAGCCACCTTGTTCTATTATTCTATTAAAGTATTATTTGCGGCCGCACCTTCAGCGCTTCATACACTGCAGCCGAAATGCATGACAAAAATACCAACTCAGGGCCAAAACGACCCGGAGCTCAATCAATCTGGGGCTGATTCGACTCGGGGCCGAAACGACCCTACACCCCCTCGAATATACAAATTACTGTTTATTGACCAGTGGCCGCTTTGACCATACTCCTATTCTATTCATTCCGAATGCAGATGGCTAGACTTGGCCTAGGCTCTAGGCCCCTAAATCTAGAAAGAGGTACTTCTTTTGGTTTGAGCCTTGTCTAAGGAGGGGTGTCGGCTAACTTGTACGCATGCCAACTCATACGCAGTTTGGAGAACAAAATATAGCCCTAGGCCTAAACGAAAACCATCATTGACTGGAACCGGGATAGAACGCCTTTAACTTAGTATTTTCGGTTCTGTGCAAACATCCCATTATGTCAGGGGCGGTGCCCCGCCAGGGAGAAAAACTATAATTCGTTCGGTGAGAAAAATTTAATATAGCTAGAACTAGGCATCCTATGTATTTTCCACATATTATTAGTAGTATAGTAGACTCTAAAATTGATTAAATAAAATAAGACTTTGAAACCCCTAAATTGTAATATTATAGTTTTTCTGCTTTTTTGGCTATGTGGCATTTTAGTTGTCTTTTTACTGCTGGCTGCTTTGTTGCTAAGTACCTTCTCTGAGACAGTGTTGTAGTTGTTTTTTTTGGTTTTTTTTGGCAGTGTTTTGTTGTTGTTTTCAAGTTGTCAAATTATTTAATGGTGCATTTTTCTACACTGAATTAAGTGTTTGCGCTATTTTTTAATTTTTAGGCAAGATATGCTTGTTTAACACAACATTCCACAAACTCTGCTAGCAAAATGTTATTACACAATTTCTTTTTATTGTATTTAAAATTATGAACATGAAAGTACAAGATACAAGTCAACTTTATTGTCAAAAAATGAATTCTGAGATATTTTTGTACATAACATAGAATTGTTTACAAAAGTGATAAATATTAATTAAAAATTCTCTAGTATTATCACTATACACTATAAATACCACTTTTTTTTAATTTTGGTTACTAAGTCATGTATACAAGTCTTCTTTCTGGCAAAAAACCTCTTTTCTTAAAGCCCTGAGAATGCACAAGGTTGTCTGCTACAACCAACTATATCAGACAAATATCAATATCAATAAGTAGCATATTTATCAGACAATCTGCAATAGCATATAATGGTGCCGTAATTTGCTTTTGGAGTACTTTACCAATGCTAGGTTGAGTTTTTTCAGCTATGGCTAATGTAATGATATACCTCTGCTTTTTTTTATATTATGTTGATATGACCAATATTGCGCTTGTATAATAATAAATAATAATATGTCGTTCTTATATAGCACTTCATGCCTTAACAAGGCCTCTAAGCGCTTCACATTACTACCCCGGTCATTGGATCAAAAACATATGGAACTCAATGAAACACCAGATTAAATTAGTAAGTGAAATTATATTATGGACTTGAATATATGACTCACTTAGCAAAATAACAAAACCAGTATTTATTTTAAATTTCTAGGTGATCTGAGCTGCAGTAACCCAATAATACTTAATAATTCAATTCAATTCAAATTTATTTGAGCATAATTCAACACATTACAAATAACAAAACAATGAACAATAAAAAGATAATTTAGTAAAACATTTACAGCTCAGGATAACCCAAAAAAACTGAATCGGTTTATTTCCATTGGGGTCCCATAAATAAGAAATATTACATAAAAGTTGGTTAAAAACTAAAACAAACATT